ATTGGCGTTATGTGGTCGTATTTCCTCCTCCTTGTAATGACCCTTGCTGCTGTGTTTTGAACTCGCTGTAATCTTTGAATAGTAGTTGATGGGAGTCAATACAGCAATGCATTCCCATAATCCAAACGAGAGGTTACAAGGGAGCATAATAATGTTTTGCATGCTTCTTCGGTAATAAATGGACGAATTCGTCCAATGTTTCTTATCTGATGAAAACATGATTTTGAAACAGCGCTAATTTGTTTGTCCATTGCCAAAGTTTTCTCAAAATAAATGCCTAGGTTTTTTATGCACTCAGTATCACTGACAACGTTTCCACCAAACTTGAGATGCAAGTCTGAGAGGTTCTTCACTCGGTTTTTTGGAGCAAACACTAAAAGCTCAGTTTTGTCCTCGTTTAATTTTAGCAGATTCGAGCACATCCACTTGCTGATGTCAGCTACGCAAGCCTCAAGTCGCTTTGATATATTTGTCCAATTATCAAGTGGTTTCAACACGAGATAAACTTGTGTGTCGTCTGCATAACAGTGATAACACATATTATGTCGTTTACATATTTCACCAATTGGTCTTGCGAAAATGGAATAAAGTTTTGGTCCCAAGACCGATCCTTGAGGAACACCAAATAGAAGACGAATCTCATCAGAAAGAACAGAACCAATAGCTATTCGCTGAGTCCTCATCTCGAGATATGACTTCAACCAACTAAGTGCTGTACTGGTTATCCCACAAGAGTATTCCATCCGCTTTATGAGAATAGGATGATCGATAACATCGAAAGCAGCCGATAGGTCTAGCATGAGTAAAACGGCACAACAGTCGTTATCAAGTGCAACAGTGATGACATGATGCACACGAAGTAATGCTGTCTCGGTCGAATGACACGCACGATAGGCTGATTGTACATTGTCGTGAAGAGAGTTTGACGTATGATGGTTTTCAAGGCGAGTCTCGACGACTTTTTCGACCACTTTGGATACGAACGGAAGATTAGAGACTGGTCGATAATTTTTCAATATCTCTTTGTCTAGACCAACCTTTTTCAAGAGTGGTCGGACAACTGCCTCCTTGAAAGATGATGGTACACAACACTGTTCCAGTGACAAGTTCACTATCTTGGTGATGACGGTAGCTAAACTGTTTAGACACGGTTTTAATATATTTGTCGGAAGAGGATCTAATTCGCATGATTTGGTTGGAGCTTTCAAAATAATTTTACGTACTTCCTCTACAGATGCTGGTGTAAAGAAGGTGAGTGGTTGGCCTTTGAATTTTAAATCGTATTTGAATTCTTCATTATCATAGGCAGACGATTCATTCACTAAACATAGATTGGTCCTTATTGTTTCGATTTTTCCAAGGCAAAAAATTGCCGAATCTATTTGATAGTTCAATTTCACTGTGGTGTGATGGCAAAATCACCTGGTTTGTGTTTCCCATTAGGCCATTTGTGAGCTTTAGCAGTCTCTTTTGATCGTGTCCAACTTCAGAAATTTTATTTGAATAAAAGTCCGTCTTGCATTTGAAGAGCAGTTTACTTGTTCTGGAACAATGTTCTTTATAAATCTGTTTATGAACTTCAAGCTTTGTTTTTCGCATTTGTCGCTCAGCTTTGCGGCGTTCTCGCTTTGCAACACGCAACTCATCAGTGTACCACACTGTGTTTGGTCGCTGAGTGATCACTTTTGATTGTTCTGGAGCATGCCTGTCGAGGAGAGTTCGAAGCACTGAGTCGTACGAAGCAACACAATGTTCAACCGAAGTATTTTGCTCATTTAGGAGAAGAGAATTGTTTATATCCTTCTCGAAATTTTCAATGTTTATTTCTTTGAACTTACGAAAACTCACGGACTTTCTTTGTTTTGGTGGTTTCGTGATATTAAGTTCACAAAGCACTGCGAAATGATCTAGCGAGGAAATTCCTTTGTCATCACAGATTTGCAGATCCTCAATTGACGGTACTCTAGCAAGAATGGAACTATTCTCCCTACATAGGATAACGTCGAGTGTGTGTCCACGGATATGCGTAGCGCCAACAACGTGTTGTACGAGACCATGATCGCTAATTGTTTCTTCAAATTTACGGGTGTCACAATTATTCTTATCATGGAGATGGAAATTTAAGTCTCCTCTCAGAATGATTTCTTCGGGAATTTTGACAGTGTAGTCAAGGAAATCTGACCACTCCTCAAAAAAAAAGATGTTGATACTAAAAAAGTTAAAAGATCTGTGAGCGTACATACAATCTGAGACTGTTTCATCTTTCAATAGTATTAAAACATTTGACTTTTCTACACTTTACAAAGTATTCCTAATTTCAAACTAAAAGACAAATTGAAAAAGTTGATCCTGCTTTGTTTCACAAAAAAGAATGACCAACGTAGATACAAGAATCTTGTCTTAGGGAGTGATACATCGTACTTTTTAAAAAATCAGTCTGATTCAAACAAATATTTCTCTGAAATTGACATCAAGATACTACTTTTGAAGGACGTGTTTTTAACAAGCAGTCGGCATTCGCATGGGTAAGTATCAACTTCGCTCTTCTTTTTGCCGACTTGTTACTTTATTCATATGAGGCTGACTTCATGCAGGAGCTTCTTAGGAAGAATGAAAAGAAACTAGCATTATCCTTTAACCTCACTTCCCGCTATATAGATGTCCTCTCACTAAATCTTAATATCTATATCTTTAACGGGAAGCTTAATACCAAAATTTATGATACAGTAAAAGAGATGATTTTTCATTTCCTATTGTTATTTATCGATTTTTAAATGGTGACGTTCCCTTGTCACCATCTTATGGTGTTTATATATCTCAACTTCGATTCGCTCGTGTATGTAACAACGTATTTGATTTTAACGTAAGAAACCTCTGTATTACTGAAAAATTATTACACCAGGGTTTTCGATATCACAAACTAGTCAAAACATTTACTAAATTTTATCATCGGTACAAGGACATCATTCGTAAATATAAATCAACATGCAGACATCTTATACGTTCAGGTATTTCACATCCAATCTTTTATGGTAATATTCTATACAAAGCACAAAAATGTAAACATTCACCTAAAAAGCTAATCAAACCTTTAAACAGACTTATTCAGAAGGGATACAGTTACGATACTGTTGTCAGGTCATAAAAGATGGCATATTTTGGTATTAATATAAATTCACTCATAGGGTCTTTGCATCGGGAATAAACACATTTATTCTAAAACCAGTTGAAGACATAATCTTTCAAACAGTTTAATTGAGGTCTGGACCTGGCATGTCAGTAACTGCTAGTAGTCCTTAGTTAATTTATGTATCATTGTCATTTTGCTTAGTTTCTTTTGTTACCTATTCTGACATCGGACTTGGACTTCTTTCAAACTGAGTTTTACTGTGCTTATTGCTGTGTGTTTGTTTATTCTACATTGGCTAGAGGTATAAGGGGAGGGTTGAGATCTTACAAAACATGTTTAACCCCGCCGCATTTTTGCGCCTGCCCAAAGTCAGGAGCCTCTGGCCTTTGTTAGTCTTGTATGTTTTTTAATTTTAGTTCATTTATATGTTTTGGAGATTACTATGACGTCCATTTTCATTGTATTAGTACATGTTTGTTTAGGGGCCAGCTGAAGCCCTCTTCCGGTGCGGGATTTTATCGCTGTGTTGAAGACCCATTGGTGCCCTAGGCATTTTTCTGCTCTTTGGTCGGGTTGTTGTCTCTTTGACACATTCCCCATTTCCAATCTCAATTTTATTTCATATAAATAATTTTCCAAGTGGCATAACTCTTAAAAATTCTTGATTAACACTGATTTTCGAACTTGTCCGAAACGTTACTAATATAAATCTATGATATACATCTCAAAAATCTCGTAAAGAATTGAATGCTTGAGAGCGCTTACAAGGACGAACCTACGGACAATCACCCGGTATGTCTATGTCCACCGCAACGTAATGATGTGGGGGACAACAATACAATTTAAAAAAAAAACATTTTAGGTCGATACCTCCGCTGTTGGACTTTTAGCTTCAGAGTAAAGCCAGCTCAGTAGCTTCAAGGATTATTCTTCAAATGAAGCTTCTGATATACGGTAGGGAAGTATAGTTATTAGTTGATTCTTCTTTGCTTAAAGTTCGTTGGTAATAATACAATATGTAGGTTCTGCTAAACAGGTGGACTGATGAAAGGCATTGGATGGGGAATTGATAACTACCAATGTAAAATGTTTTGGATAAGGGAGACAATTTTTGCCTTGCAACAGGCAAAGAATTGTAGCCGATGTTCTTAATTGTGCTGAGAGATAGGCATTAGACTTAAATGTCCTCATTTCAACCGGGTGTGTCTGTGTATTCGTACAACCCAAAGATCAATCTTTTTATTGCTGGATAGGCAGAGTCCAGGTCCAGTAAAACATTTCTTTTACTTAGAAAACACTTCGGGTTACTGGGGAAAATCTAAAACAATCCATGGAAAGTGTTAAGAGGAGGAATATACCAAGGGAGTAATGAAAATATTAAGTCGAATAAAACAAATCAACACCATGGCCATAAGCAAAAAAGGAAGAAAAGACACACAGCAACCAACTAAAAACTACACAGAAAACTAAAAATTTGGCAACCGATCCTCCCCAATAATCCGGCTATGAAGGCGTGTTCTCTGGAAGAGTAAGCAATTCCTACTTTACCATTGAACCTGTTGTTTGACTCAAATTAAAGTACTTCAATGAGTCATATCCGGTGATAGAGTGACAAATAATAGAGGATTGGTCATTGTCTCTTAAATTTAGGACTCAGTCTGGTCCCGAATGTACATTGTTGTTCTTTTTGGGGTTTTTTTTTCGTTTTGGTAATTGCTTAAAAATTAAAATTCCACAATATGTTGCTTCTTATGCTGTTTGCGTATTTCGGTTGGAAAAACATTGCCATGAAAATATAGAATGTGTTTCAAAGTCTAAATATGAAAATGAAGGAATAAAGGGAAAATAAGGCTAAACATATGACAAATCATATCATTAAACATATTTAATATCAAATAAAGAATATAACAACTACATGTAAACTAAACATTTTGAATTAATGTATAATATGTTATCTCACAGATTTGAAACATATGTTAAAAAACTTTCTTTTCATTATAGGTTTCTCTGAATATTACAAATTGCTTGGCTTGACTATAAAATGATGATGTAAAATTAAGTTGAAGTTACACAGTGAAAAATGTAAAACAGATAGTTATACAATGTTACGAAAATATCATGGCAGGAGAAAGTCTGGGGTATTCTATCAGTATGATTATGTAGTATAAATGTTCAGATGTTTCCCGAATATTACACATAGGTATGATTACTGCTCCTAGGGGTCTGTAAACTTGGTTCAGATTCAGACCGTGTTACAGTGTTACTGAAATATAAATGCATTTCTTGAAATATAAAATAATTAACTTGAAATTTCAAAAAATTAATTCTAAATATTAAATTTAAATAATTAATTTGAAATATTGAATAATTACTTGAAATATGAAATAGTTCACTTGAAATATGAAATAATTCACTTGAAATATAAAATAATTCACTTGAAATATAAAATAATTCGCTTGAAATATAAAATAATTTACTTGAAATACAACATAAAACTTCATTTAAATTATCATGTTACTAGTCAGGTCCATTATAGTCAATCACCATATTTCTTAAAACATGTACAAGGATCGTTAAATAAAGACATTTTTCTAAAAGTATCCCTCAAGATTTTCTTAAGCATAAACTTCAGGTCAAGTACATTCGCTTTTACTTTTTTTCTGTCAGGTATAAATCAATAACAAAGCATACAAAAACTAAACAAGAATGTTTCCAGGGTCTAGAATTGCTCACATGGTAAAATTATCTCCAAAATGCTCAAGCATCAAAAAGATAAATTCTGACAGCTTCGGAAGGAATTGATTTCATCAATCCCTTAAGTTTTACAGTTGCCTGGTCATTTACTAGTAGCATGAAGATTTAAAAATTGGTCAATTAGAATCAAAAACCGATTCTGGTATATATTTTCATCCAATCAGAACCAAATGAGAATCAATTGTAGATTATATAATAGTCATCAATCCTGCAAAGTAAGGGTTAAATTGTACCAGTGGCTTAAGACAAGTAAATGAACATTTGGTTTTTAATATTATTCTAATGGGAAATTTATGCCACAAATGCAAACATTGTTGATACCAAATCAGCAATCCCCTGAAGTTTCAAATCATTTCTACACTTCTACACTGCTACTTTTGCATAGGTACTATTTCTGTACTTAAAATCTGTAGTACTGGAAATTTACTTTTGATATTTAGTACTATTTCTTTACTTTAAAGTTATTGTAATATTTAGGTACCTGTATTTTACAGTACTTGATTTGTACTTAAAATTTAGGTACAGAAATAATACCAACAGTGATCACAATATTTCATGTTTGAAAATCATTACTTTAAGAGATTTGAAATAGACAAACTTTCTAAATGCTAAAAATGTAATGTTGTAACCAAAAATCTGTAGTACTTAAATTTTAAGTACAAATCAAGTACTGTAAAATACCGGTACCTAAATATTACAATAATTTTAAAGTAACAAAATAGTACTGAATATTAAAAGTAGATTTCCAGCACTACAGATTTTTGGTACAGAAATAGTACCTATGCAAAAGTAGCTGTGTATGGGAAGAATTTTTTTCTATAAAAATTAACAAACCAGATGTAAAGATAAACTATTGTGGTCATTTTTTTTTACCTGATTGAAACCACATATATTTGATTAGAAGTGACTCTACTATGTATTACTTTCTACAAAATTTGATAAGGTTGGTTCAGTAATTTCAGCCAAGAAGATAAAATGTTTTTTCTCCATAGTGTTTCAAAGAAAACTATGTGCCACCATTGCTGTGCATATTGCCATCAAATATTAATAAACACATATATTAATTTGGTTTGGTTTGCAATAACCCATCAAGTTATTAATGCTTTTCATCTAATCTGAACCACATGAAGAAATTTTGTAGAAGACCTTAAATATATAATGTAAACAAAGTTTGATTAAACCAAAACCAAATATAATTGTTAACATTAAATAAAATAAAAAATTCCCACAAATTCAGCAAAACTGGGACAAAAGAATCAGAACTATGCATGAGGGAGACACATTACTTAAATTAAAATGATTTACACAATTCTAAACAGCCAATTTCAATAAATCATTATCCTCATGTACGTTGAGGAGGTTCAGCCAGAGAGAAGGTTCCTGAAAACAGATAAGGCAATTATCTAAATCACCTTGAGAAAACCCCATCTTCACTATGGATACTATCTTTACTAGAATGGACAGCGCTCCCTTTCCTACTCTTTCTGAATAAACCTGATGGTGGAGGCATTCTTTCTTTGTCTGCATACTACAAATAAAATCATTTTAAAATAATTCAAATCAAAATCAAACAAAAAGCTACCGGGTAGATGTACATCAGACAATATGTCTTATATACAATGATATAAAAAGGAGTAAATCCAATAAGCAACTAAAGCTTACTGTTTGGAAACTTTATCATTTTCCATGCTCAATTGAACCCAACTTACATCATTTTTACTAAAAAGAGGGAAAGTTAGAGATTTTACGGAGTTTTTTTATGTAATTTGTTTATCTTTGATAAACAGACAGAGACAGAGTTTTAAGACTACATGTGTCTATTAACATGTGTATAGTTTAAAATATTTTTTTTAAACTGGAAAATATCTCCATAAAGTAATAGATGAAAAAGAAAGTATAAATAATTCCACAACAATTGTGCAGTGTTGAATAACCAAGGACAGTTTAAAATATTATTTCTATATTCTTTTTGTGGAGGGGACAAAAATATTTACTTTATTTTTTTATATACAATAATAAAAATACTCTAATTTACCCTAAATAATAATTTCCTATTTAACTGGGATTTGAATCTTTGTAAACTACTGTTGACACAAAGTCCACTGACAAGACCAAAATATTCAACAAAATTGGTATCTACTGTACATTGAGATAAGAAATGTTCATATGTCTGTATTTTTCTTTCTTTTTCATTTATAAATGATACACCCTCATTACAATATTTCTCAAAATTAAATGGCTTTCAATATATTTTAATATTAGAATTTAACCAAATGGGTTGACTTGAAAGAGTTTGAAACATGGTCTGCAGCAGTGTGACATATTTACAACGGTTGCTCTGTTTATAAAAATACAAAAATGCATGGAGCTTTTGTTTTTAAAATGGTGGAAACAAGACCCCAAACAACTTTTTGAGACCCCATTTATAACAACCTTAGGAAATAGTTTCAGATAATCTAGCTGATCTTGAGACATTTACCTGAAAGTCAAACATGTAGCATGAACATTATGTGTCATTTATTTTACAGAATGATTTCAATCTGTTATTTGTAAGTATCTGAAAAGTATGGAACCTCATTCATAAACACTGAATAAGAATCCCCATATCTCAACTGTTAATTTGATAACTGACTTGGCTAATCATGCTAATTGGCTTCAGAAGACAAAGCTCTTAATCATGACATGAAAACACAATCATATATAATTATCTGTTTCACACTTACATACAGAGCATCTTAAATTGGAAATGAATAGGTGCAACAATGTTATACCTAATCAATTATATTTCAAGATCCGAATATGAAGTAATATAAACATCAAGGAACTATTATTACTGCAATATTTCTTGCATAATTCGAGAAATTTATAAAACTTGCTAATTCCAGTCTATCAAAAATAAAATTATCCCCTTTTTTCTCATTTTTATTCATGTAGGATGAAAATGCAAAAATAAGTTCTATATAGCCTTTATATTCAAAAGCACTTACATTCAATTTCATTGAAGCTCATGAAATACTGCTCAGTTGAATAAGCATGTAAATACTTTAAAAGTAACAATTTTTATGGTGTATTAATTGTTACTATCCTTGCAAAACAAACACAATATAAAAATGGTACCATAAAAATAACAACAGAAAAATTTAATAAATATTATAAAACCAATAAACAGGCTGAAATAAAATTACTATGAGTATTGACCACCACAATAATTAATACATTGACAGTATAATAAACTACTTCTTCCAGTTATTATGTGGTTAATAAAATTGAGAATGGAAATGGGGAATGTGTCAAAGAGACAACAACCCGACCATAGAACAGACAACAGCAGAAGGTCACCAACAGGTCTTCAATGCAGCGAGAAGTTCCCGCACCCGGAGGCGTCCTTCAGCTGGCCCCTAAACAAATATATATACTAGTTCAGTGATAATGAACGCCATACTAAACTCCAAATTGTACACAAGAAACTAAAATTAAAAATAATACAAGACTGACAAAGGCTAGAGGCTCCTGACTTGGGACAGGCGCAAAAATGCGGCGGGGTTAAACATGTTTATGAGATCTCAACCCTCCCCCTATACCTCTAGCCAATGTAGAAAAGTAAACGCACAACAATACGCACATTAAAATTCAGTTCAAGAGAAGTCCGAGTCTGATGTCAGAAGATGTAACCAAAGAAAATAAACAAAATGACAATAATACATAAATAACAACAGACTACTAGCAGTTAACTGACATGCCAGCTCCAGACTTCAATTAAACTGATTGAAAGATCATGTCTTCATCATATGAACATCAGGCACAATCCTTCCCGTTAGGGGTTTAGTATCATACCATCATAACATATATGAGAAGAACATAACCCGTGTCATGCCAACAACTGGTTTTTAAATAAATGTGTTTAGTGCCGATGCAAAGACCCTATAAGTGAATCAATATTAACGCCAAAATATGCAATCTTTAATGACCTGACAACAGTATCGTAGCTATATCCCTTCTTAATAAGTCTATTTAAAGGTTTTGTTAGCTTCAGAGGTGAATACTGACATTTTTGTGCTTTATAAAGAATATTTCCATAAAAAATTGGATGTGAAATACCTGAACGTATAAGAAGTCTGCATGTTGAGCTATATTTACGAATGATGTCCTTATACCGATGATAAAATTTAGTAAATGTTTTGACTAGTTTGTGAAATCGAAAACCCTGGTGTAATAATTTTTCAGTAATACATAAATTTCTCTCGTTAAAATCTAAAACATTGTTACATACACGAGCGAATCGTACAAGTTGAGATATATAAACACCGTAAGATGGTGACAAGGGAACGTCACCATCTAAAAATGGATAATTAACGATAGGAAATGAAAAATCATCTCTTTTATCATATATTTTAGTATTAAGCTTTCCGTTAATGATATAGATATCAAGATCGAGGAAAGGGCAGTGGTCATTGTCAAACATGTTTCTGTGAAAGTTTAGTAGGCGGATAATTAGTACTTCTGTATAGTAACACTGTATATTGATACGTCATCAACCACACACATTTCAAACTTATCATTAAGAGCATGGTACAATATGTGTTGTTATCTAATTGTAATATAAACACCTCCTTTAATAGAAAATACAATTAATGGTCTGTTTTATAAGATTGATGTCCAATTCTGGCAAGTTATTTTAAAGTATTTATATACCAACATGACCAAAGAGAGGTGAAAGATACCAAAAGGACATTCAAACTCATAAGTCGAAAATAAACTGACAACGCCATGGCTAAAAAGGAAAAAGATCCATAGACAAAGAATAGTACACAAAACACAACATAGAAATCTAAAGACTGAGCACACAAAAACCAACAAAAAACTGGGGTGATCTCAGGTGCTTCAGAAGGGAAAGCAGATCCTGCTCCACATGTGGCACCCGTTGTTCACCGTAATTTTTTAAGCATTATAAAAAGCTGAAAACTTCTGATACTCTGCATTTGCATATATAATACGATTTTCTGTTAGAAAGCTGAAGCACAATCTACCAAACGGATATTTAAACTCTTGAGTCAAAGACAAATCGACAACACAATGGCAGAAAAGAAAAACAACCAAAAGACAGCAAAATCTACAAAATACAACACAGAAAACAAACATTGAGCAACAAAACACCTACAAAAAAATGGTGGTGATGTCAAGTGCTTTGACAGGGTGGGCAGATCCATAAAAATTTTCTTTAGTTCCATTACTGTTATATGATATTTATCGTTGATTAAAATATTCCATCATTGCAAAGCTTTTATACTATATTCATCTATGATTATCTAAACTTTTGATTGGGATATTTCTAAATTGGAATTTATGACATTTAAATTGACTGCATTGTATTCCTAATTTAAGATACTTTTTATATTAGATCTAGGATTATGAATGAAGAATTTCCATAAATATAGTAAATGATTTTAAGTGACTTTTGTCATGTTAAACATACCGAATTAACCTATTTATTTTTACATTTTTATTTCTGGGAGATACAAGAGGTATGCAATTGTAGAATTTTTAATTAATAACTTTAATTTCAGTGAACATTTTTGAAATGGAAAATGATGCTTACTTTCCAAATGACATAAAATTCTCAAAAATAACTCTACATATAATTGTTAAGTTTAAAATGGATATCCAAACTTCCCGAAAACATCAAGCATATTTTGAAAATTATAATACGCTATATTTGGTCAAAATTTCATTTAAAGTCTGATATGCATATAGTTCCACTTAAAATATTATTTTATTATCTAATTGCATTAAAAGAAAACAAGTTGTGTAACAAACAGCCATCGTGATGCAGAAACCAGCATGGTATTAAGTTGCAAAGCATACACATTATTAAAATGGTACCATAAACAGTGGCGGATCCAGAAATTTTCATAAGGGGGGGGGCCCACTGATTGCCTAAGAGGGGGCGTGCTCCAGTCATGCTTCAGTGATTCCCTAAATAATCAACAAACTTTTTCAAACAAAAAGGGGGGCGAGGGGCCAGGGCCCCCTGGAAAACCCTCTGAATCTGCCTCTGATAAAAAACAACAATGTAATTAAATAAATTTTATCAAACCAATTAAACCAATTAACAGGCTGCAAGAAAAATGATGGTGGATCTTGACCGCTCAAATAATTAATACATTGACAATATAATCTACTATTTCGAGAATAGTATGTGGTTAAATATGTTTCTGTTAAAAGTTTAGTAGGCAAATAATTAGTACTTCTGTATAGTAACACTGTATATTGATACGTCATCAACCACACACATTTCAAACTTATCATTAAGAGAGTATGGTATTATATTTGTGTTGTTATTATCAAATTGCAATATAAACACCTCCTTTATCATAAAATACAATCCATGTTGTTGGTCTTTTTTATAAGATGGATTCAATTGTGGCAAGTTATTTCAAAATATTTGTATATCAAATATTCACATAATCTTTTAAACATTATCAATAACTGAAAACTTACAATACTCTGCATTTAAGACTTTCTGTTAAAAATATTGCAATGTTTTTATATAAATTCATCATTGATTAATATATTCCATCATTTAAATGTTTTTCAAATAATATTCATCTTTGGTTTAAATTTTCTATAATTCCAATATTTGTATATAATATCCTGTAAAACAGTGGGATTTACTACTTGTTGAACATATGAAAACAAAATTTTCTCTGACTCATACATAAAATCTAAAGTAAACATAAAATGCAGATCTTCAACATTCCTGTCATGAACCAAAACACCCCCTCTCCCTCCAAAAAAAAACCAACCCAAACTACCACACTAAAATCTCTCCAAAAAAGTATCAAAATACATATATTGTGACTACATGCACCAATGTTAAATTAAGGGATACAATTTGTTGTTTAATTGCTTCATCTCACAAAAAGTATGTGGAGTATTTGCACCTGGATTTGAAAAAATAAAAAAATATTGACATTTCAAATTGACTTCACTATATTCCTATTCTAAGGTAATTTTCATGTAAGATTATAACTCGAAAGTTTCCAAAAATATACTAAATGTTTTTAATTGCCATTCGTCATGTCAAACATACCTAATACCAACTTATTTTTACATCTTAATATATAACATTTACCGTAAAACCAGCGGAACATTATTATATTATTTTTTCTCTTTTAAACCAATAACTTTAATTTCAGTGAACATTCTTGGAAACAGAAAATTATACTTCCTTTCCAAATGACATAAAAATCACAAAAATAACTCATATAATTGTAAAGTTGAAAATGGATATCTGAACTTCCTAAAAACATCAAGCATATTTTGAAATTATATTATGATATATCTTGAGTATATTTGATATTAAATCTGATATACATATAGTTCTATTTAAAATATCATATTCTTATTTTCTTTTTTAACAATAAAATAAGTTCCAAATATCAAACAGCCATTCAAATACAGTAAAGAAGTAAGAGAAAAGAGAAACCAGCATGGCATTGAGTTTCACCAGGTTGTGTGTGATTATACTTTATTTAGACTTGTCATTTTTATTTGAATCACAATGGTTGACAGATATAAAATAAACTTGTCATTGGTATATTTTGATAAGATATAAAAAAAAATAAACCCATAACCAGAATAGCTTGAATATACTATAATATATCTTGATAGTTATCATACTTGCCTCTTTTTCAACATTTTTTGATCCACCTTTTTTATTTGCCTTCTAAAAGTAAATTACATTTCTTCTAATTTTTAAATTTCTCTGCTGATTTTGTTAACAAATTTATATCATTAAAACTTTAATCATACAATTCTAAGATTCTGCTAGTCCAGCATAAAAATAATTACCAAATATTCACAAGAGACCAAAGGATGTTGATTTTAGCAACTATAGGTCACCAACAGCCTTCAACAATGTACAAAACCTATACTCATTGGTTAAGAATTTCTCAAGTCATTGAACAGAAATAGCAAGAGCTGCCCTGTCTCTTGCCTACAGTATTTCTCAAAATCAATAACTATATTTTTTCTGTCAGAAAACCCTTTCAAAAAAGCTACTTTATTCTTTTATAAATATTAGTATAGGGTCAATGGTATAAAAGGTAATTCATGCAGTGGTTGATAACTCATTCTATAAAATAAAATGTATGCTATAAAGTCATAGGTGATAATTTGACATTTATTGTCAAAATATTTTCAGATGTATTTTAATGAAAACTATGTTATCTTCATTCATTTAATGCATAGAGAGTTCCACAGAATTGTATAGTTGTAGCAAAAACAGGCTATGTAAAATAGTTTCTATGATTCTTATATAAAGTTGTTTGAATCAATTCACATTAGTACTTGATATCAATTAGTGTAATCATTTTGAATTGGAAAAATAACAATCTTCTGTGAATATATGCTAGATAATAGACTGTCTCTCTTTTATGTAATTTACTAGTACATTTAGTATAAAGCAAATGTTGAAATCAAAATGGCAATACTTTAATATGTACATTTTGTACATTATGCAAAACATTCAGTCAATGAACCATGACTGAAAGTGCAGGGCCAAATAACTTCCCTGGAAATTAGAAATGACAATGCTAATACAACTTTACACCTAATATCATTGACTATAAATCATAAGTAGTTTGAGACTGATCTAAACACAAACTTTAACAGGTAAACAATGCAAAAGTTTCAATAAAGTGCTGTGCCATGAGCGCATGATAGTATGGTTGCTTTTTCAAAGAATAAAGTTCTATAACTCCTCAATGTCATACCAGAAATTCATAATAAACTAAAGGGAGGTTAATTTAATGGATATAATGCAGTCACCAAAGTTTAATGAAAACTGCTCAAAGCACTTTCAAGTTATTGTCCGAAAACTGAAAAATCTCCCTCTTTTAATGAATAAAACCCATAACACGGAAACCTAAAATCTAAAATTTATAAAAATCGAAAGGGAGCTCACATCAATAGATATAAACATTCACCAAAGTTTCATGCAAATTGGTTAAAGCGTTTTTGAGGTATTGTCTGACATGTTGATGACGGAAGGATGTACAGACAGACGGACAGATAGACGGACAGACAACTGTATACCATAATACGTCCCGTAAACGGGCATATAAAAAGCAATGAGTCATGATGAGGAGGCAGGAATATATACTATCCATGGAAATGAGACTTGCCTATATATATGCTAATACAACTGCATATCAAATATCATTGACTTACCATTAGTGGTTCATCATACACTGACCTTATCACGAATTTTAACATGTAAACTGAGCAAAAATTTCAAAGTCAATATACCATGACTTAGGGGTGGGGCCAAATAATATCCATGGAACTAAGATGTCCCCATTCTTTTGCACATACCAAATACCATTGACCTTCCACTATTGTTTCTTCTTAAACTGGCCTAATCACAACAAATACATTGTTGATGCTGCCGCCACTTTCGGAAAACAGCCAATCTAATTTTAATCAGATTGGAAAACAGCATGCCAAAATCTCACTTTTTTTTTCCTCGAAGCTAGACAAAAACCTTATGAAATAATTATGATAACTGATTTTGCTTTGTGGTATAATTGTATTATAATCACAGAAAATTAGCACATGAGTGTCACATGACATAAAATAAAAAAAACCATTTTATACCTTACATGCCTTAACTCAGTTATTAGAGGTTAAAGCAACAATTTGCATGTTCATATTTCCTGGGTGATTCCTGATCAGATGAATTTCTCCCAAAAGTGACATGAATCCCTTATAACTTCATTCCTTAATGTTCAAGTGTTCAAACAAGAAGTCAGGAACCTCTAGTTTTTGTTAGTCTAGTGTTGTTTTTTTTAAAATTTTGGTTCATTTGTATGTTTCAGAGTAAAGTGTGGCATCCATTTTGCTGAAATCGTATACATTATTGTTTAGGAGGCAGATGAAGCTTGCCTCTAGGGGCGGGATTTTCTCGCTATGTTGAAGACCCATTGGTGGCCTTGGGCTGTTTTCTGTTCTTTGGTTGGGTTTGTTGTCTCTTTGACACATTCCAAGTTTCCATTCCCTATATTCTATGGTTTGAACTGCCATTTAACAAAGACTGACATGAATTATTTAGTATTCAACTCCTATATGTTAGAGTGTTCAAATCAAGATCTAGACCAAAGCAAAGGGGTAAAATGCAAGTTTCGTCTATTATCTTGAAAACTACTATGAATAGAGAAAATTTGACAGGTGCAGAAATGTTGAGTATGTTGGATCTACCTGCTGTCCAAGAAACTTTCAAGAGCTAAAATGATCATCAAGTCATTTCTACAAATAAGTCAAACATGACCGAAATGGTCAGTTGACTCCTTATTGAAGTTATTGCCCTTTAATGAAGATTTTTCACAGTTTTTAGCATTTTTGCCTATTATTTTGAAAACTTTAATCGATACATGTAGATAGAAACTTTATATAGCAAAAATGATCAGCAAGACAAGATCTACAAATAAGCCATCATGGCTGAAATCATTAGGTGACTTGTTATTGGAGTTATTTCCCTTTAAAGATGTTTCACCATTTTTTTGAGTTTTGCTTATTATCTTGAAAAGTGTAATAGATACAAATGTAGATAGAAACTTTAAAAAGCAAAAATGATCAGCAGGACCAGATCTACAAATATTTCAACATGACTGAAATTGTCAGTTAACTCTTTATAGAGTTATTGCCCTTTCATGATGATTTTTACCAAAAAATGGCTATTGTTGAAGATGCGGGTGAGCGACACAGGCTCTTTAGAGCCTCTAGTTATGAAACTTTACACTGTTGTAGTACTCTGCCTGTAGATGGATATGAAGAAATACCTTGTAAGCCCAACTCCTCCGAAACTGCTCATTGGTTTTTCATGAAAACTTACACAGTTGCAGATGTGCATGGAGGAATATGGTTGCTGTTCAAAATTGATAAGGAAGATAATTCAACTTATACTTTCACAAAAAAAGAGAGGGGTATCACTCAGTGAGGTCACTCACAGTTCATTTTGGTGGTGTTCACTACTATATTTACTGGGCCACCTAAGCTTCAAAAATTCTAAGTTAAGATTTTATTGCTTAAATCTGTTCAGCAGACCCTAAAAGCAATGTGTTGTGTAAAGCACTGGTTGCCACAAATATGCCTGATCATTGAAGATTTAAATCTGATGATTTTTAATAGATAAAACAGTGAAAAGTACGGGAAAATCCCCATCCCCCCCCCCTCCCCCCTTTCCTCCCTAATTTTCCCCTATATAACCAGTCAAAAATTTCACACCAACTTTAGGCTTAAGAGTTTTCCTGCTATTTTTACTTTTTTTCAAATCATGTACCCATACTTTTTTTTCTGTAATAATTTGGCTTACTGTCATTTATATCAGACATTGTGTCAGACAAAATCAGTGAAAATTAAGGCAAATTTAGAAGTCTTGGATATCTTATTCAAATAAGTTTGTGTAATCTCCAATTTTTTTTTTTTATTTACCAAAAGCTGATCCCTTGGACATGTGTATACTGCCAATAAATCAAATTCCTACAAATGCATTTATTCTTTTTTATCGATCTTTACCCCAATATCCCTTATCTTAGCATATACACAAATATGGTATATTCAGAGGTCGTTGCCATGGAAACAAAGTCATGTACATGCCAATTTTATTTTATGTTTCAGACAACGGATATGGTCCCTTTGAGTACATAACATTTTTATATTACTTTAAATATTTTTTTGTCAGGTTCATATCACCTTAAATGTTAAAGGGTTTCATTTTGAAAAGCATAATTACCAGATAGTATAAGTGGCATACCAAAATATAATAAAGCATTTTGACAGGTGTAAATACTAAAATGTACCAGATATTGGTAAACAACCAAAATTATTAAATTCCAAATAGATGTAAGTGGCCAAAATACATTAACATATTGTTATGGCAAGTGTAATAATAAGATATCAGTAAACCTACCAAATTACGTAACTTGTATTTGGACGCAAAATTACCAGATATTGGTGAGCCACCTATCACAATAAATAAAGTTTTGACAACAATGCTTTACAGTATCCAACTTACTGACTGTCTTCTGCTAAGGCTAGGTGAGCTATTAGGTGGTGTTCTACTTGGACTTCTAGACCTATAGTCCTCTATGTTGTCTGCAGACCCAGCCCATGTAGACCTAAACATGGCATTCTTCATATTTGATGATTTAGACAAGATCAGACTACTTAGTGCCCTGGCTCGGTTACTTTTCCTAAATGATGCTGTTCGTGTAAAGGAATCATCAAGAGATCTACCTGACACTGTAAATACATATGAGAAATTTGTTTCATCTTTCTTTAATGCTAATATTCTACAGCATTTTCAATTTCTTGGACATGATAAATTCTAATTATATCGTAAGGAGTAATAAGGAATGATATATGTTAAAAGAAAAAAAGTTGATTAGGGTAACTTAACTTCTATTAACATCAGTAGTTTTTCAACATTTAAAACTTAAATTGAAAATAAATATCTTTAAAGAAAAGCAGTTCTTTTCAACTTAACTCACACTCTTTGTGTTACTCGTTGCAAGTAAAAATTTGTAAAAAGGGTTCCCACAACCCTGTGTCTTGCCTGCGATTGCTGCAGTGTAAAAGTGTAATGTTAACTGTATACAGTAAGTCCATTTATCAGTTAAGTATAGAAATCAAGACTCTTTCATTAGATGCTATTTCTTCTTGAAGATTAGCTTCTGTCCAAGTTTCATAACAATCCATGAAGTTTAAAAGTTTATCATGTCAAAGAAATTTAATCCCGAGAATGTCTGAAAATGTCAACTGCAAAAAACTAAGTCCATCAATCAGTAAAATACTGAAAAATGAAAAAAAATATTTTCAAAATTTTGCTTGACATTTTTTCTTAACCATAAAAAAGCCTCTGTTTAAGGTGGCTGGGGTGTCTTCCTCCATCTTGGATTTTGAAGTAGCAGATAACGATTGGTCTAGATCTTAAATGAAATGTGCAAATTCTGAGAGTTGTATGTAATTCATGTGTAAGACTTTTCATGTTAATATAGTAGATTATGTTTTTTATCATATTTATGGCTGTATTTCCTAAACACCACAATACTTTTGCATGATTCATTTTTTTCAACTTTGCCACATAAGGGGAGATAACTCAGATAGTAGGGGAGATAACCCATATAAAGTAATTTTTATAATAGAAAGTGTTGTGAATTTACCTATTTTAATATGAAGCAAGAAAACAAGTCTGGTGACCCCAAAAATACTAAGTCTGTTTATCAGTAATATATGGAAAAATGAAAACAAACCTTTTAAAAATTTTGCTCTGGATACTGTCTTTTGGTCATAAAAAGGCATCAGTCCAAATTTCATAAAATTCCATGTAGCTTTGACAAAGTTATTGATGTCTAAAAAACTTTAACCACAAACGTAACCTAAATGTTGACAATGCCAATGACTGAATCTTGGATTGCTATGTCTCGCTTTCCCATCATTAATGTCACAGGCACAGCAAAAAATAATTCATTTATGACACAATACAGGAAGAGAGAAGAGAATTGTGGTTATATAAGTAACATTCTTCCTCTACTAGAACATTTGTTAAGGTATATATCAACCACATTAACCACATAGGTCTATCCTGTGACAATCCTGAATCACTAACAGGACTTTTCTTTACCAGTGTTACCTAAATCCTATACCTAACCTTAAACTTTAACCTGCTTCCACCTTAAAGTAAGAAAAGTACAACACGATATATATTGCCACTTTAGTGACTTATTTATGAATTATCATTTGAAGTTAAAAATTTTATTAGTGTACCTTTGATAAATTTTGTCATGTAATGGTACATTTTAGTGTACCTTTGTTAAATTTTGTCATGTAATGGTACTTTTTAGTGTACCTTTGTTAAATTTTGTCATGTAATGGTACATTTTGTACTAAATAAATATGGAATAGTTTTCTTTGTTTTGCTCATTGTACTGTTGTCCTATCAATTACCAACACTCTGGCTCCCTCTACCAATAAAAACTGACTGCCACTATAAAGCCAATGATGCTGAAAGTGGTTTTAAACACCAACAATCAAATAATCGTTAATCCTGTTATTCTAAGACTTATTTTTGGTATGTCTTCCCACTTTTACCTGTTTTAAAATTGTTGTATGAAATTAAAAATGTCTGGTGCCATTGATAGTCATACTAGCTAGTGGATGGGACTGTAAGAAAGTACAAGCTGCAAAAAGGGAAGTTAACATATAGTTCTCACAAAGTACTGTGCAGACTGGCCTAGTGATTTAATTGAACATCATACATACTCACTCAGGGTTGAAATGAGTTCATACTCTCTTCATTCATTCAGGTCAGCTCAAATGCAGAATTCTACAATTTCACTATTTTTCAATTTCATAGTTTGTTTACTTAACTGCCATTTATAACTTTCTATCCTTTGTTTGTATCACTTTATTACCTGCAGCAGATGAGGTGCCAAGCCTTCTTGTTAACAATAGTTCTGGAAAAGAGATTGAACATGTTAACAGATTTGACATGACCTTATTTTAAATGCATGTTCAAACAAATCAATATCATTAAAATTGAAAATCCTCCAAACTTGTTAACAGCCCTGGAATGAACTAGCTGGTAAATGTAAAATCTAAATTAAACAATTAGGGAAAGGGCTAATAAACTATTGTTCATGTCTATTTCTGAGAGAAAATTTCTGATTTTTTTTAAACATTAAACTCCAGATCTAAAATTAAACCATTTTATCATACAACTGAATAAAATTCTCAAATACCACTTTAAGTTAGTTCTGATATGCATGATTTGAGTCCAAAGTCTTGACAATAATAATCAAAACGGGATTTTCATCAAGTTTAACATTAATATGCAAGTTGTCTCCTTCTATTCACATATTTGATAACAATTTTATTTTTTTACTTATGAGTGACTTTTTTGAAATTTTGTTTGACATCTTAATTCATAAACAGTTAAATATAGTCCTATATCAACTGTGATGTATTTAACTTATTGCTATATTTATCCTTTCATTGACTGTTTTTTTAGTCTAATTGTTAATTTGTCAAAAAGCTATAAAAGTTAATCTTGAAACACTTCCATTTTCAAATACATTTTATGGTATTTTTTAAATGTCAAATGTCTGTATTCTATGAATGTTGGTTTAGGCAATGTCAGCATGTGTCAAATATCAGAAGGCATTTAAGCAATAAGGAAGATATAACAATTTGTTATATTATGTTAATACTTTTCCGTGGTTAAACTCAAAAGAAAAAAGAAGTTGTCAATAGGTGGAAACAACCAGTCGATTTTACTGTCAAACTAATTAATATCAGAAACAAAAATCATAATTTTCAAAATGGTAGCCCCTGCAATATTTTGAGGTCCAGTGTTATATGATCAAGCAAAAATGTGCATAAAATTAGAAGCCCACATAAAAATTCTATGGGGCCATGGGCTACTGGGCCCTGTGAATTTCCAAACCTAAACGTATAATCTCTTTATATACAATCCAAATATTTGGTGATTCATCTTCAATTTTTTTTGTCCTGATATACATATTAATTTGCCACTGGAATTTAAGCAGCCTGGTCCATCATCATCAATTTTTACCTACATCTGCTCTATACAAAGAGAATATTATATGGATTTTTTTAATAACACCTGTTTTTGAAGAATGGACAAAAATGCAAGATTAATTATTGCAATTTCAGGAAAATCTGGATACAGATTTATGTGTCAGATTTCAGAATGCCAGTTCTTTATATTGTGATACAATGTACTCACCTATTCGCATTAATAAAAAAACTCACAATAATTTCTGAATTTACAGTATTTATTTTAGAAACAAATAACTTTTTTTAAAATATAAAGCTTTTAGGGCCAGGTGAGCTAAAAATAAAGAAAAATAACTGTCTATGTGAAGAAACACAGTAGACCAAAAAACATTGAGTTGTGAAACATAGGTATGAACAACTAGATACAAGTAGCTGGTACATATCATGCAGTATACACTTCAAACAACGATGAGAAAATGTGATTCTAGAAAAGATTACAAAACAGAAAAAAGATACAAAACAAATGGGCCAAATATATTCATAGAAAAGATACAATTGTGTAAATTTTGGTTTCTATGGTTGCAATTCACCATTTCAAAATCTGAAGGACATGGGGTAATTTCATTGTTTGTACCCCAAAACAAAAATGACATCATTTAATTTTTATTGGTTAATTTTTCTGTGTTTAGGAAGTTATGAGCTAAATATTAGGTTTGAGTGTATGCATTTAAATATATTACACAGAATGCATTATAATCTAAAATGGTAAATTCTTAAGAATTTTCTAATTTGGCAACTGGTTTGCTAGGATTGGATAACTTGTTGTGATTTTGTTGAATATTGATATCTGCAATGTAAACAAAAATAAATCCCCAGCAAGACTTGCTGCTTTATGGTTTGGCATGTTGTGAAGGGTTGCAATAATGATAAATAATAGTAATATTTCTTCAAATTACCGGTAAACCAGTCATTTCAATTCCTTTTCCATAACCAAATACTGCTAGGGATGAAATAATCAGTAATTATGTATAAAAGTTAATAAAAATGTTAGAAATGAATGAAAAAAGAAAAATGGAGATTCATTCCATGGCAGAAATTATGAAGCATAAAGTATACACATAGATAAGCTAAGTTAAACTGTGCGGAAACTGTTGCAAACTGTCATAAATATACTAAATGAATCTTTTCAAATAATAAAATCAAAGCACACAAATATTAGGCAAAAGTACAAATTGCTGTATTAAATAGATAAATCAGTGTATTAAAGGTACATGTATATGTCATTGATGGATGCATCTGTAAAAATCACTTAAATCATATTATTAAATGCAAATCAACACCTGCCTTTTCTAGAAATTACAAGAAAAATTGAAAATGACTATATCATAAAAACAAGATCATTGTATGTTACTCACTTCACACAAAAAGTAGAAAGAGTGTTGATCTAATCTTATATATTTAATAAGCACATAAACAGTATCCATGTAATTCAGAATTCTTTTTTTTCCCTGATACTCTATGTGATAGTTATATAAATTTGTATATGGGGACAGTGTCTACCACGTGGAATTGTTTACAAAGATTTACACGGGTTCACTCTGTTTGCTGTCAAAGTATTATGTGAAAAAGAGTCTATTCATATTCAAATGTTTTATATTTATATGTTTATCATGTTCTAATTGATTCATTTGCTTTATATAAACATTTATGTATTTTCACTCCTGTTACACAGTTACTGCACCTGAGTTGTATTTTGATATAAACATCTAAATATTTATAACTGTTAGTATATAATCTATGATGTCAAGATATATTATATCTCAAATTAAAACTTTTGAAAGAGAAATTATAAAGTTTCAAAAAATAAAATTTGTAATTATTAAATAGTTACTTAGTAAACCTAAAAGATAATTTTTTTGAACATAACAAAAGTAGCTGTAACAATATGTAAATTCTGTAAGCATAGTGAAAAACATAGAAACATCATTCCTAGAAACATCTTATATTCAAAACTATAGAAATATTTACTAAGGACTACTTTCTATACCATATTATAAAGGTGTATGATTTCCTTTACTACCCTTTATTTACATAAATGGATATGTATAGAAAAATTTACCACAACAAGTTTTTGTCATGATAAATACAAGTACAACAGTTTGCTTCTTAAAAAACTTGGTAGACTGGTACAACTACTGTGACAATACCATGTTTTACCTACATTCAATAAACTATGTGATGGAAGTTTCAATGACAAGTTCAGTACTAAAATAGGTCAGATTTACCTGGTACAAATGTGCCTACCCTGGGAAAACTCAAATTATATGATCTCTCCATATGCACATCAGCATAAATGTATTTGGGTTCAATATTTAAGTTCAAGTTTCATGTAAATATCAATAAATAATATAAGCAGATGTCAAAGCCACACTACCCTAGATGTTTCTAATTCTAATAACCTCAAAAGGCTACTACTGCTAAAAACTGAAAGGACCTTAGCCATCTTTCCATAGACACAGTTGCATACAAGTTTTTAAGAACAAACCAAATGTCATGAACAGGTACATAAAACAAACAATGAACCAAATGTCATATTATACGTAAAACAAACAATGTAAAAGAAATTAAGAATAGAAGATGGGAACTAAATAGATCTCAACTCATGTCCAGTGAACGAAACCCTGGTATTGGCTAAAATATTCTTCCATATTACTATTTCAAATCTTGTATATCAATTTGCATATGTAAAAGTACAGTTTCAATGACAATGTGAATACTAAACAGGGTCAAATCTCAGTGTTAAAATGATTCCAGATTTAGCATGGGTATCCATTATTCTACAAAGTATAGGGATCTAATTGAACAGAGCAGAAAGTTAGATATAAAACAAAATTTATACATTCCAAAGTCAAACCTCTTTTCTTGACAAGATTACAAGGTATATCAAAAGAACTGTGTTATAACAAGAAAGGGTACACATGCATGAGGAGTCACAACACATCTAGAGGTACTAAAATATGTACTTACAAATATATTTCTCTTCTAATCCACTCATGCAGCATTTAAAAGTGTGTATTATTATTAATAAGGTTCATCTACTTCTAAAACATATTTCTACTATTTGTATACCCTGCTTTTTTCAAACAAACTTTAGTTTAATTGCTAGTGATCTTTTTTTTCTCATTTATCACAAATCTCTGCTTTTAACATTTTAAAGCTATTCACTTTTAAAATTGTGTTATAAAAATATCTATCCTGAATTTATATTTTTTTAATGTGTATATCTTTTAATTTTCTACTCACTTTTGTTAAATGCAATTAACTTTTTAGTTTTTCTGCAAGTACAGTACTTTCCTTGTCATGAGGCCATCCTATCAAAATGAATGCCATCTTCCTGATAGACTCTGCTAAGGTGTTTCACCACAAATAAAATACTACTCTCATTTACAACTAAATAGGCCTTTTCTTAAATTTTATGGACTGTGATGCTTAGTTGGCCCCTTTTTATGGTGTGTATATTTCTCAACGCATGCTGGTCTGTGGTGACGTTTAAGATTTCAATGAAAGTCATATTAAGTACAAGTGGTAAATTTTTGAGTCAGGAATATTGTTACCACAAATTACTTAAAACATTTCTTAAAAATTCTTTCATAGATTCATGGTTTAGAAATTTTGCTGTACCTGTAGAAACATTTATAAATCTGGATATCAAATCCTAATTTTATGGCCATGTTGTTTATAGAGTTATTAAATTTAGAAACGATCCTTTAAATAAGCTTATTTTGAAAGGGCATCAATTTTAAACTGTAGTAAAATCTTTGAAATACTGTTTTCTTTGGTACTATTATTGATTTTGTTTTTAACAACAAAAAAAAACCTTAATATGTATCATGGCTGTACATAAGGTTATGTACACTTGGTCCTACATCCTGTCAAT